GTCACCACTCTAAAATTTCAGCCTTCTAGACTCCGTGGTTCTCGAGATATTAACTTACCCGTGAAAAACTTTCACGGGGTCGTAAGCGTTACCCGCGGGTAAGGGAAGACTGAATTTGAATGGGTAAGGTTGAACGTGGGCAGAGGGCCATTACCCTAAAATTTCAGCCTCCTAGACTTCGTGGTTCCCGAGATATTAATTTACCCGTGAAAAACTTTCACGGGGCCGTACACGTTACCCGCGGGTACGGGGAAGCTGAATTTAAATTTGTGGGGTCACACGTGGGTGGGTAACGTTTCCCTAAATTTTCAGCTTCCTAGCTTTTGTGGTTCCCGAGTTGAAAGTTGCAGGTGGGGAACGTTCCCCTAAATTTTCAGCTTCCTAGCTTTTGTGGTTCCCGAGTTGAAAGTTGCGGGCAAGTTGCTGCGGACACACTAACACACAGACAACCCCGTGACAATATGCGCTTTGTACTGCTGTTACACAGCACAAAACGCTTAAAAACGTCCAAATTTTCCGGAAAATTCAAAGTTACACGTTAAAATATGAAAAATATGTCTAGAAGTGTTCCCTCTCTCTCTCGCTTCGACAAAAATAAGTAAAATCTCTTGCCGTTTATCGGCCAGATCGGTCTTGTTGCCTACAAGCATAATGATCACATCGCTTCCTCTTTCCGTACGAACGTCATCAATCCATTTGGACGTCTGATGGAACGAATTTGCATCTATAAGGGTGCACCAAATTGCTTTTAATAAGAAATGTATATTAATAGGAAGGTGTATACTAAAAACGAACGAGAAGCGAAGAACAGAAAGGAAAGTAAGAGATGAGAATTACAAAATTTGTAAATTAATGAAAATATTGTTGTTTTTTTTTTAGTATAAGAAATGAGAGTTACAAAATTTTAATATTCGCATAATACGTTGAAAATTTACATCTCTGTTGTTTGGAAGTTAAACGGGGCATATCAAAAATTTGCATTTTAAAAAAATTCAGTTCAGAAGGAAACCCAAACTAATTTTAATATGCACAAAAATCAATCGACATTGAGATTATTCCTCATTCTTCGTCCTTCATAAAAGAGTAAAATTATCCCTCATTCCCGTATTGTTTAGAAAGTTTTTGTTACAAATGAGTGGTGATTTCCGGAAATTTGATGCCAGTGAGAATACCTATGTGCCAGATGTTATTCAGTCAGAAACCTCGGAGGGAAGCGAGAAC